GACCTTAATCTCTTCTTACCACGTATGCATACAATATGGAACATTCTTAAATTCCTCTCTCAGTGAAAACGTGGTCACCACTTTAGGGCTCCTCTCCTGAGGTTTAGGAAGCTACTGTTTTCTGAGCCATGTGTTTTCACAATGCCCATTTCAACCCTGCAAATTTTAATGGCTTTGTCACAATCAGAAACCAAGTTGTTAGTAAATTTTAGCACACAAATGCAAAAAAGTTACCAGACATTTTGCATGTACAAATTAAATTTTCCGAATGGAAAGCGAATCTGCTGTGCTTGTTTAAAAACAAAACACAAAACACACACACACACACACAAATGGAAGTCGTCACCTTTGCATACTGCCATTTCAGTAGTTTTATATAGCTCCGTGTACTTACCATGTTTCTCTTCATAATGGCACCTGTAAGTAGAATAGGATGGCTGAAGTGTTAGAAAAGCTATGACATGGATTTTGTTTTTCCCTTAAGTAATTTATATTGTTACTTAACATGTATACTGTAGACAGTAAGCCAGAGACTATGGAGAATTGTGATATTTCAGAAGCAATATTTTGTCAGCTTGGAATTAACATATTGCTGAAAACAAGGAGGGATCTTGTTAATAGCTTTTGAACAGAGCAGAAAGGGAAAGTTTGAGCTTTTCACCTTCAGTCTTGGTTCTTGGACCTGTTGAGACAGAAGCTAAGGGACAAATATGGAAAACAGCAGAAAGCAGAACCTCTGTCAGCCCAATAGAAGGGAAGGTGAATTAACCAAGTCAGTAGTGACATTAGTGGGTCAAGAAACACATCTTCAAGGCATTTGATATAGGTTGATTAAATTACAAGGGGAGCAGCCACACTAAAAAAAAGTTAGCATGGGAGCAATGGAATGCTCATCCTCTGGTAGCTTTTCTTGGCATCTGAGAATTAAGAGAGAAAAGGAGCCCTGATCGGTGTTGTTCAGTGGTTGGAGCATTGGCCCCCCCTCACACTGAGGGGTCTCCGGTTTGATTCCCAGTCAAGGGTGTGTACCTGAGTTGCCATCTGGTCCCCCACCCTGGTCACGGCAAGTTCAGGAGACCACCAATTGGTGTGAGAAAGAAAGACACATCACATTGATGTGTGTGTGCCTCTCTGTCTCCTCCTCCCTCACTTCCGCTCTTCTAAAAAATCAATAGAAAAACTATATCCTCCGGTGAGGATTAACAAAAGGAGAGAGAGAGAGAGAGAGAGAGAGAGAGCGAGAGAGAGAAGGAAAGGAATTCTAGGATTTGATACTACCTTCAGGGAAAATAAATTTTTTTTATTAAGAAACTACCTGACTGTTGTCAACCTTTTATTGAGTAAATTTTTTCTGAACTTTCTTTTAGAGTGTCTATTTCTATAAAAAGTTTTTTTTAATTGTCATTATATTCTCCTACCACATTGACTATGTTGGTTTTTAAAATTTGGGGGCCAGTTTGGACAACAAATTATGTCCTCTTTTAGTTTATATTTCCCTCAATCACCAGATCCCTAGAGAGGTGATACTGGACTGTGGAGCTATGCTGCCTGCATTGGAATCCCAGCCCTGCATTCCTGGTTTTGTGTCCTTGAGCAACTTCTTTAACTGCTGCCTCAATTTCCTCATCTGTAAGTGGGGATAAAAATAGTACCTATCTCATAGGGTTGTTGTGACCCTAGACCTGTGGTCGGCAAACTGCGGCTCGTGAGCCATATGCGGCTCTTTGGCCCCTTGAGTGTGGCTCTTCTTAAGCCTTAGGAGTACCCTAATTAAGTTAATAACAGTGTACCTACCTATATAGTTGAAGTTTAAAAAATTTGGCTCTCAAAAAAATTTCAATTGTTGTACTGTTGATATTTGGCTCTGTTGACTAATGAGTTTGCCAACCACTGCCCTAGACAGAGCACCCAAACTATGAAACTCACTATGCATAGCATTTCCTCTGAGAGTTGTTATGAGGATTAAATGAGACTGCATATAAAATGCTTAGTACAGTGCCTGGCACATATTAGGTAATAAATGTTAAGTGCTGTTATTATTTGTTTTATTAATTATTATTAATAATAACAGTAAAGATAATGTTGCTATAAAGCCATTTATTTTTCTGAGATAAAACCAATGTCTTCATGCTGTTATTCTCTTTTCTTACTGAGAAAAATACAATATTTTTAATTTGCCTCTTAGAAAAAATGATTTAATTAATAAGCATTTATGTATACCTAGTGCTTATCTTGTTTTCTAGGAATTAATTACATTCCAATTTATGGCCAAAAGAGAACTACTTTAGTTTTTAATATGTTTTTATTGATAATCAGAGAAAGGAAGGGAGAGGAAGAGAGAGATAGAAACATCAGTGATGAGAGGGAATCATTGATCAGCTGCCTCTACACACTCCCTACTTGGGATCGAGCCTGCAACTCCGGCATGTGTCCTCACTGGGAATCGAACCATGACCTCCTGGCTCATGGGTCAATACTCAACCACTGAGCCAACCAGCCAGGCCAAAAGAGAACTAGTTTGCCTCAGAAGGTTTCTAAAAACACCTTTCACTTGTATTCTTGCATTTCCTCTCTATAGTTTAGTCCTGGGTCCCCCATATCCTCTTCGTTGTAGCATTTTGATCTTTGATTTTACTTCCAGTCAAAAATAGTTTGCTTTACATCTTCTATTCACTTAGTTTTCCTTACTAAGAATAGTCAAACTTTTTTTTAATGTCAGTATTGCCTAATAGATGCCTTGGCTAAGTGTTAAAAATGAGTTTGAGATTTATGCTTTCCTAAAATATAGTTTGTGACTGTCAACCCCAGTTCTGCTAAAGCAACCAAAGCACCACTCATACATCCAATGAACACTGTTGATCACAGATTGTCCAGTCATGGACTTCATGTAGATTGTGATTGGTAGTGTGTTTTCCAAGACACTCATGCATGGACTCTGAGAGGTGGTTACTATTATCCTGAATGGATTAAGAAGTGAATATAATGTCCTGTTGATTATGTTATTTTGCATTATTTGGGAGGAATTTAGAGTATAATTAGATACTTATAGTCTTCTTCAAACCTAAATTTCTTTCCAGGATTGCAAGTATGGTTTATAGTGAAACATTTAAGTGACTCCTGGAGAAATGGACTAGAACATGGTAAGATTCTCATGGAAAATTCTGGTTATTACTATATTTGATAAAGAGCTAGCAATGGTGCTGAGGTGTGGCAGCTCTAGGTTCTTATTAAGCTTAACCTCACTTTTGCCTCACAAGCCTCCTTTACCAGCACCCTGCATCCACAAATCCCCGTGATAGAGAAGGACTTGACTTTGGAATGTATAGATCTGTCCTTAATCCTGAGCTTTAGCATCTTTGGGATGTATTTCAACAGCCATCTTATCTAGTATCTGACTGTTTCAACCATTGCTTGAATGCTTAAAACTCAAATTTTAAGAGCAGCATTCTTTTTTATCTTTTGACCTGCTGGTAATTTGAAGCTGAGTAGGAAAGCATATATATTTTTTCTACAGTCCACTATCCATAAAGATCTCAGCAGACTGGACTAAAGAAGCACAATATTTATGGCAAAGAAGGTGAAAGTCCCACTGTAAGAACATACATAGGGAATTTGTTTAGGTACAATGAAGGGGGCGTGCACAGTTAAGTGTACCTGCTCTAGAGGAGAGGGACTTGAAATGTGCCATTTGTTCAATAATTGGAAAACTGAAGTTTTAACCTGAAGCTGAAGAGTTGGGCAAGAAACATGAGTATTCTCTTCTAAAGTTTAAAAAACTAGCCCTGGCCAGTGTAACTCAGTTGGTTGGAGCTTCCTCCCCTAAACCAAAAGGTCAAAGGATCAATTCCTGATCAGAGCACATAACCAGATTGCGGATTTGGGGCCCGTGCAGGAGGTAAATGATCAATGTTTCTCATATTGATA